CAACACTGGGTCTCTTACCATTCTGAATGAACCGCGATATTCATGGCAGATTTTTTGCACTGAACCCGGATTGTTTATCTATAGGTTTTGTGGCGATCTAGAGAAAAAGGTATGCGGATTGCTGTTTCAATATTTAAAATTGACATATCATCAATGAACTGCGCTGACTCAATTATGCGTGCCAAAACAGAATGTTTGGGTCCTTCTGAATAAAGCACGGCTCATAAGCTTAGGGATGGTGTGGGTACTCCTGCTGAGGCCAATCTGACTCCTACATATGGAATGATAAGATGATTCCAATCAAACTAAAACCTGCAGCCTGCGTCAATCAGTTTAGGCTTCATCTTTCCATTTGTGAACGACATCTGCAGAGAAATTGATGGGCTCATTATCGCGGAATTCTTGAGGTACATGTACATAGTTTTGTTACTTTATTTTTCCAAACGGAACTTGACTGACTGAGTTCACGGATTTTCTTCGCTACCACCGGAATTGACCGAATGCCAGGAAAATTCGGGTTGAATGTAACCCACTGAATGGGCAGGATGCCGCGACAAGTTGAACCAATGTTTGCGCCTGTCAGATGCGTTTGTTTCCTTTTCGGAAGATGCCGGGTGTCGCCTGGTGTACTAGTACGGCGACAGGTCATGGGGGAGGAAACTGAAGAAGTTTTTCGGGTACACTTTGAATCCAGCACTAGCTACAAGGTCAGCACAGTTACAGCAGCTCTTACTGGTATTCGGGGTCCTGATACCGAAAGGCGATCGGCATCATACTTAGTGCCGGGTCCAAGCCGGGTCTGAAATGCTGTATTAAACGATTGTATAAAACATTGAATACCTGGAGTTATTTAATGTGTATTAAATACTTTACTTATATCAAGGTGTAAGACCCCAAATCACAGCTCAGTACTCATGTTTCCAATGCGGGAAAAGCGCCAGAAATCACTTTCATGCACTTCCAAAACATACATCACCAGACCTGGGACGGGCTAATCCGGTCAGGATGCGGCCGCCCGCAAGATGGATTAAATACCAACAATACATTAAATACAGCATTAAATACATGTATTATACGTTAAATACTGGCAAAAATCGGGCCTTGATTCATACCGCTCTCTCGCTTAAAAGCGTGGTGCTCCGGCTTTCCATACTGTAGCGTAAGAAATTCAGCTGAGGACTGGGCGAAGACAGAAAATTTGAAAGGTGGCAATTTTGGTGAGGAATAAAAATGTATGATGCGAGATGGAGATGAGGACGCTATAGCTACAAGCGGCACCCTATATACATGCTCACTTCCCTACTCAATAACCTGGTTGTGCAACAGCCACTGGAGCCACCTCGTGGCTTTTTTGACGTGTGCAGCCGAATGGCTCCAACCCCGCCAAAATAGCCATTGCAGCCAAAAATAGCCATTCAAGTGGCTTGACGTCATATTTTTGGCGGTGGAGCCATCGAGTTGCGCACGTCAAAAAAGCCACGAGGTGGCTCCAGTGGCTGTTGCGCAAACTCTCTAATTAAAGCCTATCGAACCCTATCCCAATATAACCGAGTTTAGGTGCATTTGGCGCCGCTGTATCTCCGGGTACACCGCAGGAATACTTAGTATAGGGATAAAGCGGGGCAATACTGTGGGCGTGAACTGCAATTATGTTTGCCAAGAAAGCCGCCCGAGGTACTTAAGTCGCCGACAATCGAGTTGCCGAGTCCCGATCACAGGCTGAGAGGCGGGCCTTGGCGCGTTGTTTTAGGTCGGCGGAGATTTGCGCTAGATATCGCAACGGATGAACTTGAGTCGCGGGGAACTTCGCGTAAAGATATGGCGCAAGTTAGCGGCTAGGCTGAGAGCGGGACCTGATTCAAGGTACGGGGCATTCGTGCGAATAGAGGAAGACTGTACGAAGGGAAGGAAGGTATTGAGTGTGCGAGGAGGTGTGAGACGAGCCGCATGAGAGCAGGGAGTACGATGGGGGTGGGAGATATATAGGATACAATTGTAAAGTGCAAGTACAGGGGGGAATGAACGACAAACCCGCCTAGTGCACCGTATTCTAGCCCACCGCAGCCTCCGCCCATCCCACATCGATCCGCCCGCGAGTTAACAGGACGATCGCTCGCAATGCATAACAAATCGGGACTAGCTGCGGAAATGTATACATCAGTATCATAGCGTGAATGAAGTCATTAATAGAAGGCTCATACCCGTGAAAACGCAATGTCACTCGGCGCCCCGAAACCAGTTCACCTTGTGCTCGAGCCCTGTAACATTCTGAGACGAGGACGCCCGGTACGCGTAAACCCCCACGGGGCAAGTACGTACACCCAGCGACCCAGGCGACGAGTGTAGGAGGGGCGGTAGCGAGGGTGCGAAATTGGATTATGGACAGAGGGACGGCGGCACGGGCTAGATTAGATTAGACGAGGTGGAGGGTGTTGTGAAGGACATGACAGCTGCGCATGTGCTTGTCAGGGTGAGTGAGATTACGCTTCGAGTGGGATCAGGTGGGATGGAGGAGACAGTGGGCATCGGGCAAAGTACGAATATGTATTTGTCTTGTGGCGGTAGCGACTTCCTGGGAGTGGCTTCTGCGTCCTGACGTACACCTGCCGATTCCTTGGGCGGGTACTGGCAGCCGATGAGGAGGACAACTCGGTGCGTGCTGGTAAACGCGAATCAACGCAACTCGATCAGATCACGCTATCGTGTCCCCCAAGACGCAAGTAGAGGATCCACAGCGTACTCTCGATGTACCATCGAGAGTTCCACTGCTATATCAACCCCATCCCGCTCGGACCGCGTCCGCTTCGACGCCCCACAAGCACTACCACACCCGCCTCTTCGCCCCCCCTCACTTCCGCCTTCGTCGTCTCCCCAGCACGCCGGCGCGGACGCGATCGCGCGGGGAGCAGCATCGGCATGGGGAACGGGAGCACGATCGGCATGGGAAATGGAAGCACGAACGGCACGAGGAGCGGGAGCAGGATCAGCTCAAGGAGGAGCGGGAGTAGGATCGGCACGGGGAGCGGGAGCACGAGTAGCAAGAGAGCGGGAGTATGATCAGCACGAGAGCGGGAGCGCGAACGGCACGAGGAGCGCGAGCACGAGTGGCACGAGAGCGGATTCGGCACGGATAAGCACGCGCCCGAAGACGGTGTCCAGCTCGTCGTCCTCCTTCGCAGTCCAGAAGTCTCGTTCGGCACCATGTGAGGCGACGACGATCACAGGGCGCGCTGCACCCTCCACACGCATGCGCGCCGCCGCACCACCGCGCTTTCACCGCGGCAGAACTCATGGACGCCGCCCGCCCCTGCGTGACCGTGAATTCGCTGCTACGGACATCGAATGGACGAGCTCGAGCGGGATGGGCCGCCGCCGGGTGGATAGTGATACCGGATGCAGAAGGATGGATGCGTGCGTAGTCACCGCCCAGGGTCTCTGTGTACAATGGATAATACATAGTCGGACTGCAGCGATGCGGCGCAGCGGCTGTTTCGGACGTCGACTGGGGTATTCGTTCTGCGGGGCGACGTGGGCAGAGGGCGGAGAATGGGGGGGGGGAAGATCGACATGATGTGCGAGGAGCTCGCTACAGACCATCCAGAGCTCGTGGAGCGGAGGGAGCGCATCACGGTGGAGGAGAGCGGCCGCGTTATGTGGGAGGCGACATCGACCTCGTCCTTCTTCCCGAGATGTGTCGTGCTCAGGCTGGGGAGAACGCTCTGGGGTATTCGTTTGGGAGGTCGAGGAGAGAGCGCGGGTTGTGTACGCGGCCGGTGGTGACGTGTGCGGCAGGAGAGCATCGCCGACTGTGCGGAGCTCAGGGAGGATGCGAAGCTCGGCGAGGAGGAGCGAGCGGGGATCTGGGAGCATGCTTGGCCTCCAGCTCGTCAAGTCGAGGAACCGCGACCTTGGTATCCTGCACGAGACGCGGGAGGACCGCGTGCGCTTCGTCGAGGAGATGGTCCCGCACATCCGCCGAGAATGGTAGCGTCGTGCCGTACGCAGAGGGCTAAGCGCCTGGGTGGATGCAAGGACGGCGGCGAATATGAGTGTCGTCCCACGTCGAGTAGCGTCCTGTAGGCTGCGTGTGGGGATTGGCGTGGCGTGCTATCCGCGAGTAAGGGTATGTATGCCGAATATACAGAACAAGAGGCGATTCACCAGTTGGCTGGGCGGAGGAATAGAGTGGCGAAGAACGGTCTGCCTCTGTCCATGAACTCGATCAGCGGGCTGGGACACAAAAGGAGAGAGGAGAACGCACAAGGTTGCCCGGTCCACGATATCCTATCCACCTAAGGCAGTGTGGACGCAGCTCTTCATCCAGGATCTAGGCAGCATTACGCCGTATATCGATATCCGCACAATTCTTGAGGCCCTCAGTCTGCGATGCAGCCTCCACAAGCGACGAGAACAATCATAAAGACAAAGATTGGGTAAGTCGATGCACTACAGGCGCGGTTAAGCAGTTCTTCGGAATCAATGCGGCATTGATGGGAACTGCCTTTTTCGGTCATGCCAACCCACGTTGGCCTAACTTTTCAGTGCAATGGAAGAACAAAGATGAAGGGAAAAAGCCCGTTCAACATGATTGTAGGTCCTTGGCAGGAATTGGCAAAAATAAAAAACCTCAAAACTTTTACTAATGGCTCGAACTTGAACGAATGAGTCTTCCGCTCAGCGCTCACGACGGGTCCTTCCCACCATGCATTACAGATGTGAACCATCCGCCACCGTGCCTTTTTCTGGCTCCTGCGAAATTTGTCACATGCAGTGGATTTTCGTACTGAGAAAAAAATAAATTGCGACATATTATGGACGCAAGGCCCAGGCTCGAATCGAACGAGCGTGTTCTGCATATGAATGGCGGTCAACCAACTGACATTTTGCAGACGCGGACCATCCGCCACTGGGCCTTTCTTTCGTATACCCAGGAATCCCGTCAGGTAGGTTACATTTTCGCATGTGGAATGTATAAAAAAAGGACGAGTATTACCATCTTATGGCCCAGGCTCGAATCGAACGAGCGTCTTCTGTAGCTCAAATGATAAACTTCGCACATTCTGCAGGCGCAGACCATCCGCCACTGGGCCTTGACCTGATACCTAAAAAACTTGTTAGATGCAATGAATTTTCGTACAGAGAGAGAAAAAGAATCCACGACACTGTGGAATATGTAAAGGCGCAGGCTCGATTCGAACGAGCGTCTAAGAATGAACCGCCTCAAGTTGTGCAGACTCCGCGGACTATCCACCACTGGGCCTTTCTTTCGTATACCCAGAAATCCCGTGAAGTGGGTTAAATTTTCCCATGCGGAATGTACAAAAAAAACGACGAGTATCGTCAGCTATGGCCCAGGCTCGAATCGAACGAGCTTCTTCTGCAGGTAAACATGAGTATGTCGGAAAAATCATATTTGCCTGATCAGGGGCTGATCGCACCTGATGGACTGGCCAGCCCTGGTCAGAACCATCTCAGGTGCAGCGAGGCAGCCTGTCAGCCCGTATCAGACAATCCCAGGCAAGTCTATAATTGACAAATATATTGGGAACTATTCCTTGTCAGCTCGAAGGAACATGTCCGCATCCACAGTATCCACTAAGTAATGCAAGTTTTCCTTCGCCCCATCGGTGACTGGCGTCATCAAAGCCCCGCGAACCACATAGTCCATGAACAGGAACGAGTAGCCTTTGACCTCCTCGTAAATCTTGCATCCAGCCCACTGTGTTTTCGGCTTCCATGTGTTTGAACGATACTCGTGAACAAGTGCAACATCAAACTGGCGCTTGCTTTCGAGAGTGCAGCGCAGAAATGCACAGATGCGAGCGAAGTCCATTCCCGGAGAGTCGGAGTTGAAGATGACACTGTCATATCGGGCGTATCCGTGGAAGTGAGGATTGCAGCGCACGATATCCCGAAGACCTCGCCAATCTTCAAGTGACTGGTAGGTGACATGGGCACACTTGAAGGGTCGAATCTGCAACAAATGTCAGAGCACCGAATATGTTTTAGCTGCAACCAACCTGGATCCGCTGCTCATAAGAAATTCGCTCATTGGGGAAGTTCTCTGCGATGAAATCCCGCAAAAATGAATCGAAGTCGCGAATGGAATGCCCCGCTAGCTTCAAGGAGTCCTCAAATGCCCTCGAGTTTGTGATATGGTCTGGCGCTCCGAGCCTCCAAGAAGCCGAAGTTGTTTTGCTCACATTTGGAGTCTCGTCAATCTCCTCCTCCTCCTCTCGCTCATCCTCCACGCACTGTTTGTCGTATCTATCAATTGCCATGCGAATCCGCGCAATCGCTTCCTGGGTTTCGTCGATTCGATCCATCTGGTGAACCAGACATTAATACAGAACTTGACAACGACAGTTTAGAACCAGTACCTGAGGTGCAACATCTTTACAGTTCGTTTGACTATACGCTTCAGCGGCCTCTTGTTGGAATCCCTCACCGGGACGTGTTGAACCGTGGTTTGTTGTTCCTTTACTGCGAATGTCCTCCAAAAGATGGCTGGTAGCGTGCTGCTTGAAGAAGTCGAATTCTTTGCCGTAAATTTCGGTTACACGCTGAAAATATATAAGTCAGGATCGCAAGGCAATCCATTAAAGAATTCCACTTGCCGTACACCAGTACTCATAATCTCCAATAAACTTGGCTAGGCGGTCCAGACGACGGGTCGGCATACAGTGCATGCCAGCCATTATTCGCACTCGCTGGTATGCTCTGATGCAATTAACGATCAAAAAGGAGATCGGATGGAAAGACTTCGAGGACGGTGAGGGTGGCGAATATGTTTCGCTGGATGTGCCGATCCTGCACAAGGGTGGCAGCACAGAATACGACATTCACACCTGCTTCTTGAATCCGGTGTTAATGTGGGTTTGTGGTTTTTCGTGTTACACTGTCAAGTAGTTGATATTTTGAGCAGCTCTACGTGGCCACTATCCGTGGAAGCAATGCCGTTGTCGCGATGCTTGCGGGCGATAGTTCCGGCGCGAGTACATTTATTCCCAAGACTGACAATATGGAGCGCATCCATCGAATTGATCACACCGAGCCGGGCGCGATCGCTGAGGCATGTGTTTTGGTGAGGTTGGAACGTGGACAGTATGTTATACGCACTCATATGTAACCTCAGGCCATTTGGGGCAAGTCGGCGGACGTGTGCCTCCAGTCTCGCGGAGATCACACCAATATTGATTATCAAGCGCTCTTCGACGAATACCTCGACATTTTGATGACTGGCCTGCGCAAGAAGAGTCCTAGCATCCTCCATGTATTCTCAGAATGGGACCGTATCGTGTTTCCAAACGCAGACGCCAGCCATACCGATCCCACCAAGAAGAAGCGCCGTGGAAAAACTGATGGTTACCACCGTGCCATGGAAGCGATGGAAGAGGAGGCAGAGCCTAGCGAGAACGGAGGTGATAGGGAAGGAGGGGGAGACTCCTCTCCGGTGGACGAGAATAACTCGAGCGGCGGTGAGCAAGGTGGAAATGACATGGCTGGCGGTGATGGCTCGGAGGGCTAGATCAGTGTCCAAATGTTTGTCCATCAAATGTAGAACTATCTCAAGCTAAATACACAGCTATGCATGGCCCGCACCGTTGTTTTAATGAGCTACTAAGAGTCGGATATCGGCGCAAGCTATAATTATCAATGCCGACAGGTAATGATAAGTGCTGGTCAGGCCAAAAACTAATGGTACAAAAGAACCCTATTCTGTTGTCTCCTAATTCTGCTATGACGAAGTGGTTAATAGGTACGTTTTTATTGCAAAGGTCGTGAGTTCGAGTCCAGCTTCTGACAATTAATAATAATTTAATAAATGTAAGTCATGTGGTAGTGAACAATATTGAGTGACTGCGAGCGACCATTACGTGGTCGTTCAGGGTCCGGACCCTTTTTCAAAAAAAAAAAAAAACCCTCGCCTGATCACGCTGGCCAGCCGCAATCAGGCTGGTCATCCTAATCAGTGTGACCACTACCTATAACTGGTTTTTGACCCTTTTCAGCCCCCGGAAAACCTGATCGACTGACTCAATCTGATATGCGCAAACCAGGCCTGATCATCTATTTACGTTTTTTCCGACATACCACCTCGAGTTTTGCAGACGCGGACCATCCGCTACTGGACCTTCTTCTCAATCTTGGTAACTCTGATAGGTAGGTTGAATTCACGCACTCGGGATAAAAAGCCATCGTCACCGTTCGAATCACTGGCAGCACCCAGGTTCGAATCGAACGAGCTCCTTCTGCATGCCAATAATGGACCATCGAGTCGCAAGTTGTGCAGACGCGGACCATCCGCCACTGGGCCATTCTCTGGTTGCTGTAAAATTCTTTAGATGTGTTGAATTTGTGTCTCCAGAATAAAAAGTTATCGGACCTCTTTAAGATCAGAATCAGCACCCAGGCTCGAATCGAACAAGCTTCTTCTGCAGCTCAATGATGAGCTTCGCACATTTTGCAGACACGGACCATCCGCCACTGGGTCTTTCTTTCATATACCCAGCAGTCCTGTGAGGTAGGTTGAATTTTCGCATGTCGAATGTATAAAAAAACGAAAGAATTCCTATCGTCTATGGCCCAGGCTCGAATCGAACGAGCTGCTTCTGCAGCTCACTGATGAGCTTCGCACATCTTTCAGACGCGGGCCATCCGCCACTGGACCTTATTCTGGCTCCTACAACATACGTTAGATTTGTTGGATCTGTATATGAATAAAAAAAGCCCAGGATGTCCAAACACGCCCAGGCTCGAATCGAACGAGCTTCTTCTGCAGGTCAATCTGAAAGCTTCAAGTTGTGCAGACGCGGACCATCCGCCACTGGGCCTTCTTGTCAATCTTGGTAACTCTAATAGATAGGTGGGTTGGATTCACGCAATCGGGATAAAAAAGCTACAACTCAATGATGAACTTCGCACAATCTTCAGACGCGGACCATCCGCCACTGGGCCTTGACCTGATATCTAACAACTGGTTAGATGCAATGAATTTTCGTACTGTGGGAAAAAAAATCCCAAACACCGAATAAAGGCCCAGGCTCGAATCGAACGAAACTTCTTCTGCAGCTCGATGATGAACTTCAGAGTCGTACATTTTGCAGATGGCCACTGGGTCTTCTTCTTCTCATATACCTAGGAGTACCTCGTATGGATTAATTTCGCACTATAAAAAAACGGCGAGTGGCAGTATATAGAGCCCAAGCTCATTACGAGTACTTATGTTTACATAATACTTGTTTATAGTAGTGTTGTCAAAGTTCGGTTCGGGATATCGGTTCGAACCCGAACCGGACTGAACTGAACGTGAAGTTCAGGTTCAGGTTCGAGAAATCACCGAACCTGAACCCCAAGTTCGGTTCAGGGTTCGGCACAAGCAGAAAATTTCCGAACGCGTTCGAACACGTTTGAACTCCCGAACCGGTATTAAAATTTTGGCCTGAAATTTCCTGATTCACGCTACCAATCAGGCCTAAAGATGTCCCAAATAACCTATAACTGAAAGGACGCCGGTGATGCGTCCTCACTGATTCAGACAGAAAGACAGGAACAGTGATCTAGATTGTCGTAGTGTAAGTGAAAGACAAGATAGGAATACATGAAAAGAAATAGTAACCTAGATTGTCGTAGTGTAAGTGAAAGACAAGATAAACAAGTACAACTGATGGGAAAGGTTTAAATACTGGGATCATCCATCAAAGATGGTTAGTAATAATTGGACCGGGTTTCATCAATCACTGTAAGTAAGTGCCAGACTTACACTCTCCCCCACTTCAAAAAATTTGAATGGGTTACAATTCTTCTTCTTCCTCCCACACATCAAGTGCAATTGTGTCCTGCATGTCCCGACCAGGGACCCACTCATCCCATTCTGCACCATATCCTTCCCAGCGCACCAAGTATTGCTTGCCACGTCCACGTCTGCGTTCATCCACTATCTTCTCAACTGTCCACTCTACTGCACCCTCAGGTGTAATGACTGGACCTGGCCGTCGTGGTTCACGAGTTGGGAATAGTATAGGGTCATTAGGGATGTGGCGTTTCAATAGGTGAGCATGAAATCCTGGGAACAGTTGAGGATTGTTTG